GTACTGATTAAACTTTTGAGGCAAAGTTCTGTTTCTCCCACACTTTCCACAGTATTTTTCAGAGAGGTAGTTTTATGTTTCTATATGTTGTTAAGCTAACATTCCCCTTTGGAAATGAGAACTATGAGATTTGGCAGCATGTTGTGTACACAGCTAAAAGGAGAAGGAAAATAACGTAGGAATAGCTGGTTTATTTTTTTGAAAAACTTTCTGGATTAAAGAGGACTCTCGGGCCTGTTGGCTGGAGTGGAGACTGGGATGTTTAGAATACTGCACCAAGAGCACAGCAGCCTCTGCGGAGGCTACAGTAGGTGTTCAGTTTGTGCAGACAGGTGCTTACCTTTCACTTCTCTGTTGCTGGAAAGGCCTGCTTTCGGCACCCTGGCTGTTTGCTTGAGTCCAGCTGTGTGGTTGTTGTATGGTCATAAGGGTTGTTGTATGGTGATAAATGCACATCAAAGGCCTCTGAAAATCCTGGCCTTCCCCTCTGGCATCCCTTCTGTTTCACGCATTCTGTTCTAAAAATCAAGCTTATTTCTGTTTTAAACGAGCCTCGTGGGATGCCCTGGAGGTCAAAATATTTTAGGTTATTTCAGAGTACTGTATTTATTTATTCTGAGTTCCCACAATGTAATGGGTTTTTGAGTGTCCTTCAAGAGGCTGATTGGTTTTGGTAGTTGTGATATCAAGGAGATGTGCAGGGGTTACATGTGACTGTGAACTTAATTCATAGGAAAGACCACACAGGTGTAGTTCCAGAGGACTAGATACACTAACACAGACGTTTCAGGGTAAATCTGTGAAAGGTGGCTTTACCTTGCTGTGGGGATGCAGATGTGAATGCAGGAGACAGATGCAGCTGTTGGCATAGGAGGAGTGGTGATGACTGAGGTGGGACTGGCTGCCTGTTTCAAACACAAGTGACTGCTCTGGTGAGACCCCCCCCCTGCAGCTCTGCGTCCAGATCTTGGGCCTCCAACATAAGAAGGATGTTGACCGGTTGGAGCGAGTCCAGAGGAGGCCACGAAGATGCTCAGAGGGCTGGAGCCCCTCTGCTATGGGGACAGGCTGGGAGAGTTGGGCTTGTTCAGCCTGGAGAAGAGAAGGCTCGGGGGAGACCTTATTGCACCTTCCAGTACCTGAAGGGGCTACGAGGAAGCTGGGGGGGACTTTTTACAAGGGTCTGTAGTGACAGGACAAGGGGTAACGGGTTTAAACTGAAAGTGGGGAGGGTTAGATTAGATATCAGGAAGAAGTTCTTCCTGGACAGGGTGGTGAGGCACTGGAACAGGTTGCCCAGAGATGTGGTGGATGCCCCATCCCTGGAAGTGTTGAAGGCCAGGCTGGATGAGGCTTTGAGCAACCTGGTCTAGTGGAATGTGTCCCTGCCCATCCATCCTTAAAGACTGGATGGTCTTTAAGGCCCTTTCCAACCCAAACCATTCTGTGATGCCATGATGACTAGCCATAGCCAGATACTGAAGGTTGGCGGTGTTTTCCTGGAACCTAAACATTACCTGGATGTCGTCTGTGCTGAGACTGCAGGTGCAGATTGGCGGCCACTTATTTGGAATAAGTGAAGAGCTTGAATTTAAATAACCACCTCACATTCTGAGCAAAGAAGGTTCCTTGGGGAAAGAAGAGGTTTTGGCCAGTGCTATCTGGCCAGCACGGTTCTATGAGACTGGAACAGTTCAAGAGCGAGCTGTCTGTCCCCTACAAAGTGTTTGTGCCAGATGGTTTGGCATGTTACCATGAGCAGTTTTCCTTGTTGATTGTCACAACTGGCAGTTGGGCTGTATCCAAACTGTGCCAGGTTTCAAAGATACGTGCCAAAGGATTCTTGGTGACCATAGCAAAAGATACCTGTGTTGTCAAGGAATGCTAAACTGGAAGTGCTTCGCCTCTGCGGTGCAGAGCACCGTGTGCTTTGTAGGTGGCTGCAGTCCAATGCTTAGTTATCTTCTATTGTGTTTGGGAGACCATTGTTTCCTATTTGTCTCATAAATTTAACACAGATCCTATTCCTGCCATTTAAACTTTCCCATCAAAATACAACAGTGACTTCCCCTTCTGCAAAGGAAGGGCTGGCAGCTACACCCTGAAGTTTGAGCATGAACTGTTTATATAACCTTCAATCGCAATCTCCTAATAGTCTGAAGACTTTCTGACTAGGGCAGACATTTTACTGAGGTTTTAGTGAAAATCTGGCTGCCACAATTGCCTTATTAAGGCTTCTTAGTTGTTGCAGTGGAAATAGAATTGAAAACTGTACCCTCCAGCTTCCTGATGACACAAATTGCACATCTATCTGGAAACACGAGCAGCGTTTTCTGTTATTTCAGAATTGCTGAACCCATGTCATTTGGGGGTAAAAGCTTAAGAGCTATTTTGGGCTATTTTTTTTTTTCCCCAGAAAACATTATTAGATCTGAATGAACATGCTTTTGCAGACTCTGGCTTTGTAAAACTGCTGGGTACTTTGAGAGTTCCCTCGCCTGCCCAGCAGTAAAAGCTCTGGCATCAGTGTTGTAGAAACTACTCATTGCATAGTATTCTCTATCAAAGTCAGTTATATTTAAACAACTGCAGCTTGCAGCTTCCAAATGGATGGTATTTGTCAGGAACATGTCTGTTTGAGTTTACTTGGCCTTTTGAGTATAAGAAGTCCGAATATTTAGAGCTTGAAATTCAGGTCAGCCTGGAAAACTACATTTTTCTTCCAAAAAGTTTACAGAGAGAACACAATTTTTCTGTTACCATAGCACTGCAACACAGCCGGTTTGGGAAAACTCCTCTGTCCACCTGCAAGCATGTGATTTTGAAACGGCATTTAAATAGCAGCTTTCGTTGTAATTCTTCCGTAAATTGGATTAAGTAAAAGTTGTCTTTATTAATAATATTAAAAAATTGTATTTCTTAAGTTGTTAATTTGTGTGGAAGTTTAATGGTTCGGTGTTTGAGCAGTGTGGCAAGGAGTGTTTGAGAACAGCCCACCTTATGTCATTGTTCTAGCAGAAGCTTGTTCCATTTGAGGACATTTTTTACCCAGAGAAGTGAGTGAGGAGCAAGCTCTCTGGGTAGGGTTGTGCGCAGGCTAATGCCAAAAAACATGTTGAACTTCTTCTCTTCAGAGGGGAAAGGAGTTTCCACAGGATGTCTGCGTTTCGTGGCAAAAATTACTTGTAGATGTGCTCTGAAAGGTTGCTTTGATGTGGGAGATTAACCTGGGGACCTCATTGTCAGGATATTACAGAGGCAAATAGCTTAGTGAGATTATTTGTGACTTGGGAATTAAGCTTTTATGAGTGAGCCTACTTAAACTGTTTTTTAAGAATTTGCTGGTTTGTCACGTGGCGTCATGAATATTTGTACGTACCAAGCAGGAGGAAGGAAGGCAAAACCCTGAAACTACAGACACCACCAGGGAGGGAAAAAAAAAGCAGAGCGCAGTTGTGTCACAGCAACTTTTCCTTTATTGCCGGTCTCTCACGGACCGTTAAAAAAATTACCCTGAAACAAGTCATATACGGAAACTTGCTCATTCCATCCCTAAAAATCCAACCTGAAGAATTTGCAGAAAAGGTGGGACAGCTGGGAAGGCATGAGACTACTTTCCTGCGTTCTGGGTCTGCCTGATTTTCACTCCCTTTCTGTTTGGATTGTTTTCAAAAAGGGTCCTTTCATGCATGTGCGAACTGGCATTGGGCGCTGGCCTAGTCCTTGAGGAAATAAGGAGATTTTTGAGTATTGCTTTACCCTTATTGGCATCACCTGCAATACCTGTACCAGGGAGAAGTCACTGGAGTGCTGACCCCCTAGAACCTACTGTGATTCCCACAATGGTCGTTTTTTACCACAGGAGTCTAACTGACCGTGTAATTTTAGCAGAAGTCACTCCTGAGGGTGGTTGTGCTTGCTCAACATACCCCACCTATGTCTTTCTTTTAAAAATGGTTGGAGTTGGTGAACTCACTCAAACCACATACTGTTTATGATGGCAGATATCTCATTGAAATTAGCGCTTCAGTGCGTTTTCTGACCCTGAATTGATGAAAAGCCTTTACAGCAATTACAGAATGGAACTTTCCTTTGTGTTACAGAAAGGAGAACTCTTTGTTTGTTTGTTTTGGTTTAGGGCACACCGGTTTTTAGAAGAGGATCTGTATATGAGAGGATCGAGAAAGTATGGTTTGATTTTGGTTTTGCTTTGCACTCACTGAAATAGTGCGGGATGCTGGGAGGATTCAGTTGTGCCTCTGAAGGGAAGGTTTTCGTCAGTCACGCTAAGAGCTGGTGTTCTGTGCATTTATAGGAGGTTCAAAGAACGTTTAGGTTCATAGGAGAATCAATGAAAAAGGCAAGGGTGTTTAATTCCAGTGAATTCCGCTGCTGTCAGGTAGCCTGTCTGGGGGGTCCACGCTACGCTGAGGGGTGTTTCTGTGCATCACTGGGCACCTACATCTTGAAAAGTGTACCTCGTAGGTAATTCTGGTCTGGTTCTCTGCCTACCCTTGGCGCATCCCTCAGCAGAGAAGTGGACCTGGGAAGTCTCCTGCAGTTGTACTGATGCGACGGTGTATGGGCTGGGCCTCCTGGCACCTGTTCAGGGCAAAAATTACGCCTCCTCAGGCAGTCACGATGACTTCATTTCCTTTCACTCACGGAGAACATAATTTTACTATTTACTTACAAAAATAATAAGGCAAATTTAGCTAAGTGACTTTCACGGGATTCACAGACAGACTGTTAATCTTTTAAAGGGATTATATGATGTAGTGCTTACAGTCACAGGAGAGGACTACGCTCCTTAACTCGGGGAGCCCTTTCTGGTCCTCTTTCTGTAAACGGAGTTGTATTGGGTAGGACGTCAGAATAATTGAATTTTGTCTTCATGTGTTATCTCTGTGCAAAATGCTTTTTCATACATACTTTTAGAGAGAGTATTATTTAAGCATGTTTATAACTGAAATTCACCTTGGATTTTATTTATTACAGGTTTGTAGGAACAGCATTTGAGATGAGTGCAGTGGAGAAGATTGAGGAGCAGCTTGCTAGTCTGCGCATAGCAAAACGTTCCATGCCAAGCGAGGAACCTGCTTACTTACTGGATATAGATGTTTCCAGATCTGCTCGGTCTGAAAGCAGTCGCTTCGTGGCAGTTTCGTGTTCCAGTAAGTCAATTAGGGTGTATAACAGGGAAACATTAAACTTCCTGCGGGAGTACAGTAGCCATCCTGGGACACTTAATGGAGTCAGATTTGCACACGCGTGTGACAGCGTAGTGTTTTCAGCGTGCAGTGATGGTACAGTGAAATGTTGGGATGTTCGCTCAGCAACTCAGAGAGCTGTGCAGGTATTTAGTGGCTATCCTTCCAACGTCTTCATCAGTTTTGATATCAACTCTAGTGACCTCATAATTTGTGCTGGAACAGAAAAAGTTGATAAGGACACATTTCTGGTGTTTTGGGATGCAAGAGGCATTACAAACTGTGCCAGCACAACTAAAGAACCCTTGGGAGTCTATTCTGAAAGTCACAATGACGATGTCACTAAAATTTGTTTTCATCCTATCGAACCCAATTTGGTAGCATCTGGGTCAACTGATGGGCTGGTGAATGTGTTTGACATCAACAAGGATAACGAAGATGATGCTTTGATATCAACTTGCAATTCAGATTCATCAGTAAGTTTTATTGGCTGGTCTGGGAAAGATTATGAACAGGTCTACTGCATGACACACGATGAGGGATTTTGTTGGTGGGACATTGCTCAGTTGGAGACGGAAGAACCAATAACGCTGTCACATGTTGTGGATGTCAGAGACGCAGTCTGCGTTGCAAACGACACCTTACGTTACCTGGTAGGTGGCTTCTATCACGAAAAAGCAGACAAGCTCTTTCTGATTGGGGGAACGTCCACAGGAAACATCCACCTCATGAGCTGTGGCACCAGTGGGCTGAGCCTGGTGGGTACCCTTTGCGGGGGACACTCCGCTGCTGTTCGTTCCTTCTGCTGGAACCTGACAGACCAGTCTCTGTTGACGGGTGGAGAGGATGCTCAGCTGTTGCTATGGAAACCCGGAGCTGTGGAAAGGTCCCTTGCAAAGAAAGCGTCTATGAAGATTGCTTCTTCCGTGCAGAAGAGAGTAAGAGTTCACGACAGCTCCCTCAAAAGCAGGAAGAAGTAAAATGCTGAAAGTGGGAACCCTACTGTGTAGAGTTTTACTGTGTGTTTAATCTCTTGAGCAATTCCTGGCTGTGCTTTCCTGGGAAGTGTGCTGTGGAAGATGCTTGAGTTCTACCTGGGAGTGTATTTCAGGCATCAGCCATCTTCAAGGCCAGGCTGGATGAGGCTTGGAGCAACCTGGTCTAGTGGAAGGTGTCCCTGCCCATGGCAGGGGGGTTGGAACTAGATGATCTTTAAGGTCCCTTCCAACCCTAACCATTCCATGATTCTATGAATGCCTTTTTTTAAAGTTGCTAATATTAATCAGCAAAGAGTAAATGTTTGCTCTTGAGTTCTTGAACAATAGATCTTAAATCATATTATGTAAAAACATTTCTGTGGTGGTTTAATGTCTCAGCCAACATTTTTAATGTGTAATATAGGCCTGTGTCTTGCATAATTTGTTACCTTCCCACTGAAATTCCCTGGCATGTTTTAAAAGCTTTTCTATTTCATGCTGTATTTTGATTTCTTTACAGAGAACCTAATGAAATTGCTCAATATATTAAAAGATTTTATGTCACATCTTAATGCCCAAGGGAATTGCTTCTGGATGAAACAGAAAATAAGTACTGGTTTGCACGGTCATATCACTGGTTTATAACAGGCTCATAAAGAAGCGGTTGATAGAGCAATATTTTTCACAGCGCTGTTAGGAATGTACTCAAGCAAACAAGAACACGTGATTCCAAGCAGCTAATTTTTGAGTGTATGAGAACTGTTAAACTGGCATTATTTAGGGCACATTTCCTGCATGAAATACCCAAGAATCTTCCAAGCAGCTTCGTTCTGTCCGGGTAAGTGCATCTCAGGGGGGTGCACCTGGAAGGCTGGGGAGATCTTCAGTGGGTTGAAGAAACTGATGGGTATAATTACACCAGTGGTGCTTAAAATCCCAAATCCTGCGTTTGAATTGAGTTAGTGTCGCCTGCTGAATGGGAATGTTACAAAGGGAAAATGAACACTGCCTACTGAGACAGCAGCTGTGGAGGAACAGGCCAGTATGAGGAGACTTTGACACAACCTGTCAGAGGTTAGTGTGTGTCCTTTAGGAAATGTTTCTCTCTGCAGGGAAGGTTTTATGCTTAAGCATCTCCCTAGCACAGCTTTGTTTTAGTATTCCGTCAAATACCTATGAAGTGGTGTGAAAATTGCCCTGTACTTCTGAAAGGGGTGAGTCTTTATGCTTACCCTGCTCCACGGGCAGGCTACGATCCGTGCATCCGGCCCTGCACACGCAGTTACCTTCAGCCTTCTGAGGAGCATCGCAGGCGCAGGGTGGCTGGTAACGACGCTGTAGTTAACATCTCTGACTACAGCTGAAACCAGCACAGGAGTATTTAAGAACTGCGACGTTATGGAACAGTTGGCAGAAGAATTAAGAGGGGTGGGGTTTATTTTTTCACGTGAGGGTGGATAGGAAGTTCCTTCAAAACAAGTTTTGAATGTCAGGTTTAGAGGATTAGTCTGGAGTTCAGGAACAGTTTCCAAAGTACAGAGGATACCTCTAGTATATGGTTCCAGCTGGGCCGAAGACATCTTCATTGTCTCTGGAAATGAATCCTGTCCAACCTGAAGTAGCAGGTTTCCACATGATGTGTTTTACAAACCATTCGTGTCCTTCCGCCACAGCTATTTATCCATAGTTCTTCCGGCTCTGCCTGTTGCTCATAATGCAAAAGAATCACTTGCTTTTCTTACTGCTGGTTATTTAAAAGTGCAGCTTCAATTTAAAAATCTCCTGTCTCTGAACTCTTTTATTACTCGTGTTGAATTCAAGTTATGCCCAACCTCCTCATCTGCTGCTTTTCAAATTACTTTGTGCTGCTTTGAGACAACTTGGCGAGCGAGTGTCATGGCTGAGATGCACCTGGATCATGTGCCCTTTCAAGATTTGTTCTCCCAGGTCACTTGTTTTTGCCTCTTTCTGTGGAATTCAGAGTTTTGTGACTGAGTGGGTCAAAAAGCTTCAGACCCCTGTGAATTCACAGTAGTGCCCTCAGGCCTGACTTGGTTCAGTGCCAGTAGTTGGGGGTGGGGAACTGAGGGGTGATTCTGAGACCTATCTCATTGCAAGTACTTGCTTTTTCGGTCTTTATCCACTCTTTTCCCAGTATCTTGACGTGCTCAGCGGGGTAAGGTAATTGGGACAGTCTAACTGCTTGATTTCTTGAAGATGATTTTGTGTGCCACGCACAGAAACACACACTGAGGAGCTTTTGGTTGCTTCCGGTGGGTTTTGAGTGTCTGTTGTGCGGGATTCTGGTGGGCTCTGCCAAACATCTCTGAATTAAAGCAGCAGGGATGAGAGTTCTGGTACTGAAGTGTTTGAAGTGTGCAACCTGTTAGCTTGTTTCTGAATTAGATTGATCCGTAACAAATCAATATCCATCACAGTTTTTCCCTGAAAAGTTGGTTTCTCTCTCTTGCATAATTCAAACAGTGATGGGGGGGGGAAAATGTATGTATGTATCTTAAAATTCTGCAAAAGCACGGCAGCTCGTGGGAGACTCAGGCTTGTGTTGCCTCTGAAAACGCTTGATTATTTTTCTTTTGTGTTGACGTAATTTCAGGTTAATATCCATAAAATAAACATAGATGGAAACCACATGTTAACGCGCAATTAGCGTTGCTTGCTTTAGTGAACGGCAAACGCTCTTTCATAGACCACAGAGCACAGGTAGAACATGTATGTAGTCATGAAAATAACAGTGGGCCTGAAATGAGGCAGGTGGACTTGTCTGACTGTATTTAATCTCTTGGGGTGGGTTTGGTGTCTGTTAAGTTGGTTTCAGCCTTGTTAAGAAATGTATTTGACCTTTATAAAACTTAGGTAGTTGCAACTCTGTGCAAATAGCAGGCATTCAGGAATCGTCACCATGTGAACTGTTTAACCCCAGGGGTGGTTCTAATTCCGGAAGCAGTGCCGCATTTTTTCCAGTAAAGGAAAAGCAAAAATCCAGGCAGAATACCGAAGCGCAGAAAAGCGTCTGTCTTCATTCCAAGAGGATAGTAAACTTGTACGGTACTGCTGAGCAGCAGGAGAATGTCCTGCTGTGAGCCCAGGAAAATAAACCTGCTGGTATTTGGCACGTTCCTAAATTTCCTCTTTTCTCCGTAAGTAAAATCCAGCGCTTGCCCGCACGCCACCATTGGGTTTAAGGCGCGCTCCCCTTGAACGTGACCTTCCCGCCTCCTCTTGAAGGACGGCTTGGCTGTTTCGTTGTGCTGGAGTAAGGATTACGGCCTCCGCTCCGTGGGTGACGACAGCAGTCTCAGTAGAGCGCAGGGTCTTACCCGCACTCCGGGACCGCGGTGCAAATTACTTGGCACATCTAAATAAAGGCGTGAATGAATTTCTAGGTGGAATTTAGTTGGCCGGTTGCCAGTCATAAGCTATTTTGTGGCCAAAGTGTATATGGCATATGCCCTGTGTATTCAAGTGGGCATGGCTGCGTGGCTCTACGCCAAAATCTGAACTAGCAAAGATGCCGTTGCAGTACCATGTTGTAAAGATGTAAAGCGCAAGCCTTACGCTGCCTTGTGAATGACAGCTTTCCCTTGGCCTGCCATCCCCCTAGCTCTGTAGGCCATCCTGTTACACGGAGCGTTGTGTTTTGTCACGTGAAGCGCTGACTGGGAAATAGGCTTTCAGAGGCGTTAGAGGCCGGGCGCCCGCACGCTCCTGTAGCTGCCGTGTGGCCGGGCACCCTGCCCGTCGGGAAGGAGCCCAGCCCCGGGGCAGCGGGGCTGTGGTAGCGATGCGCTTGCTTGCAGTGTCGCTTGCTCAGCAAAGCTCCCACGCTCCTGAAAGAGTTGACGCTTTTGGCCCGCCTCATAAAGCTCGTCTGCATGTGCCGTTGTTCATTTGGAATTACTGCTCCCCATCCCTTCGAAATGGTTGTTTTCTTGGACTTTTTTTGGGTGTAGCAGAGTTGTATCTGGAGATCTGCTCTTCTGGAGGGGGCATGAGGCCTGTCCTCCCTGTGAGCCCTCCTGTCCCGCGCGTAGGCCGCTGGCCTCTGCACTTCTTGTTACACCCAGGGAGTGGTGGGAAGCGGAGGGAGGGAAAAAGGGGGTCAGGGTGTCTGTCCAGGGAAGCAGTCGGACCCTCTGCTTTGGAAATAATGGTGATGGCTTACTCTCGAGCTTGCTGGAAGCAGGACAGGACCTTAAATAAATTATGCAAGACATAAACACCCTTCAAGCAAGGAGCCAGTTCCTGTTTGTGTGCAAGATGAGCAATTTGGCAGCGAAAGCGTGCAGGAGAGGCAGGAGGTGTTTGCTCACGGGGATGGCTACTCTGCTAGTGGAAGGGGAGCCACTGGTCAGGCCCATATGGATACCTCTACCCTGCAGGAACCGATGGATTTGGGGATTTCAAGTGCCGTGGAAAAAAAGGAAGGCAAAAACGAGTGTGGAGGTGACAGCTAAAGGTAGCAATTCAGCCTGTGAACTTGGAGCTGTGTGTTGGGCGATAAGTGCTCCATCCCTTGGTTCCGATCAGAATTACTTGCAGATAGCAGTTGTGAGGATCGTAGAACCGCAGAGTGGTTGGGGTTGGAAGGGCCCTTTAAAGGGCATTTAGTCCACATCCCCCAGTGCAGTGAGCAGGGACACCGTTAGCCGGATCAGGCTGCTCAGAGCCCGACCAACCTGACCTGGAATTTTGGTAACTTCTTGTTACCAGTTTCCTTTTTCTGTACCCGTTCCTGAACTGACACAGGCATGTTGGATGGTGGGGGTGGAGTGGGGTGACTTCAGTTACTGCTGGTGACTGCTTGGCCTCAGCTTGCTGTCACGGTGTCCTGTCCTACTCGAATTCCAACACATGCATTTCATCACGTCTTGCATCCTCATGCCTCTAGCCACTTGGAAATCTGTATTTTGAAATTCTACCAACTTTTCTGCAAACTGAATGACAAAATGCCATTCTACATCCTCCTGCTGCAATCTGGGCAC